CAAGACCCGGCCGCCCCACAGGAACAGCGCCGACCTCTACTAGCCCGCTCCCTGCCCGCCCCGCCAACGTGGCTGCAGTGGCATCTTTTACAGATGGCCTCATGCTGGTTTTCTTGAAGGACCATGCAAGGCAGGCTCTGTGCTGCAAGGACTCGGGGCACAGCAGGGCACACGGCCGGGATTCGCAGCAGGATTGGGGAGCCCTAGGAACAGGGGTTCCCTGGGGTGTGTGGCCGCGGGCGTGTGGCTGTGCCCCTGTGCCCCCTGGGCCGCCTCTGGAGCAACACGCACAGACACACAAGAAAACAGCGTTAATGTACAAAAAAAAACCCCCCAAACCCAGCAGCAATGGATGTGGCAAAAGGTTGAAGGTGTCCCTTTGCTCACTCGCACAGGCATGTCTGTTTGTCTGTAGATTTTTTTTTTTTGTTTTACTCCTCCTTAGGGTTTACACAGCCCTGAGAGGTTCACAGCCTCGGCTGTACCCCAAACAGGAGGAGCATGAGCACTTACTGAATGCCAGCGCAGTGTAGCTGCAGCACAGGGTTTCGGGGCTTTTGAGTTCTTTTGGGTTTTGGTTTGTTGGGTTTTTTTTGTACTAGGGAGAAGGGGAGGGCCTTTTGCTTGTGTCCAGACATATCTTAGAGGACCATTTTAGTTTCCCACTAAAATGTGTGCATGTACGCACTCTCTAATACTAACACACTAAAACACCCCCCCCCCCCACACCCTTTCCTAGACCAAATTTTCTTTAAAAATCAGGAACAAGAGCTGGTGAAAAAACCAAACAGTTTGGCTTTTGCAGGCAAACACTCAACCCCTGTTTCCCTTCTGCCCTCCCCACTACTCATCTCCTTTTTCCCAGGGTGGTGCTGTGGCTGTGGGGTGATGTGGGGATGACAGGGACACTCGGCCAGAACAGGGACAGCGGGACAAGTGGCCAGGGCAGAGAGGGTGGTGGAGACGGCATTTGGGAGCTGAAGGTGTGAGCCAGGCACCTTCCCCAAATGCAGACAGGCCTCCTGCCCATCCTACTGCTTTGAAACCAAAGCTCACCTCCTTTCTAGAGGCAAAGAACCCCAAATTGCATGTAAAAACAACCGCCCCCCTCCTTGGGGAGCAGCTTACACTGCATTTCTTGGGCCTCTGGGGCCACGTGACTTTTTTTTTTCTTTTTTGGCCTCGTGCTTTCCAGCACAACCAAAGCACGTGGCCAACAGACTCGCAGCCCTTGTCATATGTGTTGTGACAGACTGCCTCAAACCGAAAAAAAGCTAGAGTAGAAACCTCAGCTGTAAGCAGAGCTAGAGCCCAGTGTGAGCTTCATTATGTGGTGGTTTGGCTTTCTAGTTGTATTTTGGTTTTTGCCGTGTGTTTTCCACGCTCCCTCACCTCAGGCCCCCCCTTTTCCTCCCCAGCAGCTCCTTCTGCTGTAACCCACTGCACAGCTTTTGGACAGCGACCTCTTTGGTCAGTGCTGGCTCTTGGTGTTGTACCTCAAGGGACTTCTTAGTCTTGTCAGTCTTTTAGCGTCAAAGTAATAAACACAGAGAATTTTCAGAATACGCAGATGTCCCCTGCTTCATTTCTATTCCTTTACAGTTACAAATTGCACAGAAATGTGAATGCCAAGGAGCTCTGAGGTTTGGCTGCAGGGACTGGGGTGGCCGGGCAGTTGCAGCACCAGTGACGGAGGGCCTGGAGCGGTGGGGAAGGAGGACAAGCAGCCGGGCAAGTTGGGAGAGAACCGTGTCCTGGGGAAACCCCTGGGGAGATGGTGCGTGTGGGCTTGGGGACGAGCTGATGCTGGTTGAGGATGAGCACGGGGCCATGTACAAGGCGGGGAAAGAACAAACCAGTGCCTGCAACGACTGGCCTTCTCCCACCCCAGCCAACAGGGAGGAACAACGGCGACTGTAGAGAGAGCTGCTGAATCATAGCGAGGAAACAGCCAGGGAAAGACAAAGCATCCCATCACCACGCGTAGAAAGTTCATAGTAAATCGTGTACCCAGTGAGCATTGGCATCAAACTAAACCTGCTGTCTCTCAAAGAGCCACAGCAGGTTGCTGGGCACAAGGGTGCTTGACCTGGGGCTCGGCTGTGACCCTGGCCATGCCCCACGCCAGCCCCCTTCTCACCCCCTCTCCTTCCAGGCTGGCGTTGGTCATCCTGGAAGGCCTCCTGGCTGCCCGGGCCCCTGCAGTCACACAACAAGCAATGACAAGGTGTTGTTGCCAGCAGAAGCACACCACCACGCACAGAAACACCTTTCACAATATTTTTTTTTTTTTATTTATAAAAAAAAACCCCAACCCTGCAGTTGAAATACAGAGCAACTGGAAAAAAGTCTCACAGCATAGTAATAAAACATCTTTATTCCCTCTTAAGTATAATCTCTAAGACTACAAGCCTATAATTCCCATTAAATCTCACTTAATTGAATGGTCTTTATAGGCTTTCCTCATTGGAGAATGAGCATTGAATACTGGCTTCAACACAACATCAGGAAAACAGTGGTATGGGGAATAAATCACAAACTTTTGGTACCTTGGGTAACGTTGCAGAACCTGGCGGAGCCACAACCAGCAGGAGGTGCATGCTCGCGCAGGGAACCGGGCGCAGAGCTGGGGGCTGCTCTTCCCCTCGCTCCCACCAGCTTGCGGCCGGAGGTCGAGGACAACAGGGGAGCCTGGGCCTCACCCCACACAGCCCTAGGAGGAGGGATGGGCAAGGAAACAGTGGAAGGAAGGAGACGCAGCAGGAGAGGCTCTGGGAGCCGGGACCCTGCTGCACCTCTCTGCTACTACTCCTGGCTCAGCCCACGGGTGACATGAGCCACTGTCACCTTCTGGCTTCTGGGTGGGCTGAGCTGAAGTTAAAAACCACAATATTTTTCCCATATGTGGGTAACTTCTCATTCAATGAGCTATCCCCTAAGCTGATGAATTCCTGATGCGAACAGAGGGAATTAGTCAGCTAATGGGGTGAGGGAAGAGCCCCTGAGGGCCAGGTCTGCTGGTCCATGGACTGCTGGAGAAGAGTCTCATGACCTCCTTGGATTAACAGAGTGCCCTGTCCTGTAGGGTTTGGCCCCATCCTGACGTTCATGGTGCCGATCCATGGCAGCATGGCTGCCCTGCGGGGCCAGGGCGCAGGCAGAGGGTGCAGGGTGCTGCTCCCCAGCCAGCCCGGCACACACTGCCTTCTCCCCAAGGGATGGGGAACAGCCAGGCCCAGCTGAAAAACATCTCAGAAATGAGCATGAGGGAGAAACTGTGGGGTAGATCCCATGAAAAAAGTGCTCTGCCTTCGGTGCCTTTTTACTGTCACATAACAGGAAAAAAAAGTGTCAGCT